AACGTAAATCATTTTATAAGATCCATAAACACCGAATACGTAAAAGCAAAACTTCATAAGACTACGACTAGTTCATTGAATAGTTAAGCATAATTCATCGAAATGTATTATTTAATGAGAACACATTCTCTAAAACCAAGATTATTAGTGATTCCAGTAATGATAGATGCACTTGAAAAGAATTTTTATTTCCAAATGGAAGATTCGACCATGATTTACTGGATAATGTTTTTACATTCTTTTTTCTTGCTTACAAAATTATAACATAGTGCTATTCAAATAAGTTGTGATGATACCTTATTTATTTTAAAGTAGATCAACGTTCAAAAAAAAAGAACGTCCGTTAAAAAAAACATTAGAACAAAAAAATCTTTGATGAACCACACAAAAAAATCATCTGATTAAAAAATAAATAGTTGATCTACCATAAAAACATTTTTCATTGACAAAAAAATCTTAGATTAACCAAAAACAAAACATTTGATTTATCAACAACAACAACTATTTCACTCGCAAAAAGAAATGGTTAATTGAAAGAAAAACTGTTTCACTGTTCAAAAAAAAATAATATGTGACTAATCATCAAGAACCTTTGACAAAAAAAACAATATTTGATTGAGCAAAAGAGAAGGTTTGATTGACCGCAAAAAACGCTCTACTTTGAATATTTTATTTTTAACTAATGACTTTTGATACCTAAATGCAACATGTGTTCAATTTCTTTTTCATTTTATTTTAACTTTAGACTTTCAATCAATATATCATCAGGTTTTCTCCAATGAAATTTTCAATGATTGTTTGACCATTAATGGAACAAGATAATCCAATCGAAACTTCAAATGATTGAAACTTTGATAAAGGAACATATCAAACCATTATTTATTGCATTGCTTTATTATTTAATGTTAGATTTTTAAACTTGATTGATTATAACGTCAATTCAAAGATTAACCACAACTAGTGTGTCTTGCATATGTTTTTGTTGCTATTGTTGTCAGTGGTAGCACCATCGGATGAGTATCGGAGGTGTAACGTCTCCCCCCGGTGACCGATCAATTCGTCGCACGACAATTCGTCGCAATCAATTCGTCGCGATCAATTCGTCGCACGACAATTCGTCGCGATCAATTCGTCGCAGAATATTTTCTTTCGTTCTGTTCGTCGAGAACAATATCGTTGCGATCAATATGTCGATATCGCTCTTAATTACTTTTTTTTTCAAACATGTGAGATTGATCAATTAATTCATTTTTAACTTTTGTGGAGGAGCATTGGTTTTCCTTTTTCAGAAAGGAGTTTCTGAATTTGAGACATTTTTTGGAAGTGTTGTGTACAGTAAACGTTCAGATTGAGAAATGAAATACATTTTCAACATTATCAATATATATTTTTTTTATGCCCCGATCACATAATTAAAAACATTGGATCAGTGTTATCGTTAGTCTATATTATTTCGAAATTCATTAAACGATTTACAAAACTAATTATTTTTGGAAAACTTTAGCTCTATCATGACTACACGTGATTAACATGTTCTATTGATCCGTTTTTCCAACTAAAGTTATCATCTTCAGTGCAATCTTTTCTTCAGTACATCGTTCACATTTTTTCATTTCTTTTTTTTTTATTCGGATTTGGTTTCACCAAAAAATTAATTAAGAGCGAGATCAAAATATTGATCGCAATGATATTGTTCGCGACGAACAGAACGAAAGAAAATATTCTGCGACGAATTGATCGCGATGAACAGAACGAAAGAAAATATTCTGCGACGAATTGATCGCGACGAATTGTCGTGCGACGAATTGATCGCGACGAATTGATTGCGACGAATTGTCGTGCGACGAATTGTACTAGTGCCAGTAAATAATTCTTTTGGTACTTATTGATATAATATTTAGGATCGGACAACTGGTATTCATATATCAGAAAAGTCTAGAAAAACAAAGGCGACAATATAAGACAATTAGCTGAAAGTAAATCTATTTCTTTGTTGCTCATCTAAACTTCAAAACATATCTGAACCAAGTTCATATTTTTAATCTGATGTATTTATAACATTCCATTCTTTTAACAATGCTTTATTTTCTCGTTGATAAATTTAAAAGTAATTGACTATTAAAAATAATATTCATATTTATTGATAATATTCACTGTTTAAATGTATACATATATAATACTCACAACTATTATAATTTATATTCAATAATACACAACAACAATAAAATAAACCAAGTATACAACAATTACAAGAACTGAAAATACATAATATTTTTTTTTCTTATTTCTTCACTCGGTTTCTTTTTCATCATGAATTTCAGCTTTTAAACGATCTGTTAAATCATCAATATTATTTTCATTGAAACTCGTTCGTTCATTGACATCTCGAGATGATGTCGAATTATTGAGAACATGTTGATATTCACCGTTATCATTTGATGCCCATGGTTGTAAGTCACCAGCAGCAAAAAATGTATAAAACATTAATACTAATATACAAATCAATATCGAAATCATAAACAGTCCATTCCATTCACGTTTTAACTAAAGTTTATTTATGAAAGAGAAATTTCAGATTAAAATAAGAAAATCTTACTTGTGTATCTGGAACCATATAACCTGTTATAATCGGTACAAGAATTCCTGGTGTTGATCCAAAACTATTCGATAAACCCATTAGAATTCCGGCATAATGTGCTCCAATATCAAGATGGTTAACACCAAAACTAGCCCAAGCAGGACCACAGCCAGTAGTCACAATTGTAATACCTATTATAATTAAAGCCCGATGTTTTGCTTCTAATAAAGTAACAAGAAGTAAAGCCAATACAATTATAATAAAAGCTAAATACGATGAAATTAATTAAAAAATAATTCTAAATAACATTTTTTTTTCTTACATATAGCCATAACTAATTTTCGTATATATAATGTTGAATATTTTTCTATTAATCTATCGGAGAGAAAGCCTGCTCCATAAACTGATATTGCCAATGGTAACCAAGGTATAGCTGCTAATATACCCGCCTATGAGAAAAGAAAAGATAGTGAAGAGAAGATTGCTCTTTTGACAAACCGTATCAACTCGAAAACCAAGTGCTTGAGTGATAAATGTTGGCAATTCAGTAAGCATAATATAGATACACCAATTAGTTCCAAAATGTGCAACAATAATAGCCCATACAGGTAATGATGTTAATATATCTTTCCATGGTATCGGATACTTCTAATAAATTCAACTAAATAAATTTTTATTTTGTAAAAAACAATTAATTTTACTCGTGACATAGCTTCAACTAGATTCTCTTGAATATATGCTGCTTCTTCATTTGATATAGTCGTATGAGTTGATGGTGATTCAGCAGTCAAATAAAACCAAGCTAATGTCCAGGCAAGAGCTAGTACTCCTGATAAATAAAATATCCATTCCCATGACCAATAAACAGCAATAAGTCCACCAAACATCATTGACATAAATGTACCAATATAACTCCCTTAAAATATTTTTATATAGCAGAATTTTTATTTTTCATTAACACATACCAGAAAATGCAAATGTTGCCAATTTTGATTTATCACTTTTTGGTGCCCATTTTGACCATATAGAATGAAGTGATGGATATATAAAACCCTTTCGATCAAATGACCGGAACATTTTATTTGATTTTATTTTTTTAAAAACTACTTACCGAACTAAATCCCTGAAGAATTCGAAGAACTATTAATGCGACTACTCCACCTTGAGCACATAATGGTGTAAATAAAGCCAATAATGCACAAAAACCAACACTACCACCAAATAAAAGTCTTCCACCAAATTTAGTTGCTAAAAACCCAGCTGGTATTTGAACAATAGTATAACTATAGAAGAATGATGAAAGAATATAACCTTGTGTTTTTGTACTCCAATTACAAACAGCCTAAGTTTTATTTAAAAAAAAAACACAAGTTCATATTTACATAAAAACAAAACAAAAATAGTAACTTTACGGGTATTATTTTGATTGTACTATTTGGTAATACTTCAGTGGTTGGGTTAACCATTGGAACAATTGCAATCGAAAGATTCGCTCGTAAAATAAAAGCATTAAAAAGTCCAAAAAATGCAAGTAAACTAAGTACATAACGTTTTGGAACTTGATGATGGAGATTCCACAGAGTCATTTTTGTTTTGTTTTTTGATTTATCTCGACGAACTACAGACAAAAAAAAATATTATAGATCATTTTTTAAGGTATATATTTGGAAAAAAAAGCAATAATATAAAAAGAAAAGAAACCCTCTCCGCATGAGTAACACCAACGCATTCGTGCGACCGCGTTCTCGTATTGCGCATGTGCCAATGAAAAAATTATATTTTTTTTCTTGTCTGTCATCCTGCGTTCTTATTTTTTTTGCCGAGAGAAAGAAGCATAACATTGTGAGAATCGGCACACTAGTTACAAGTTGCCAATCAACTATTGAGCCCCTTAGAACTATTCTATTTTTGCTGAAAACATCCACTACTTTTTTTCTCCTGTTCGTTTAGTTACTAGACTCATTCGTTCGGATGAAATGATGCAGAAGAACAGAAAGAAAAAAGAAAAAAAAAACTCCATCGAGTCTCTCATCATATTCCACTTGTATTCATCTTCATCCGAAGTGAATATATCTTAGTGTGTTCTTTTTTTTTTTTTGCATAAATTGCAAGTAAGGAAAAAACAAAATTGCTATATACCTAAATCATCATAGTTTATTGTTCGATGTTAACCAATAATATAAAATAATACGGATTGTTCTCTATAACAAGAAAAACAATCATTTTAATAACTCAGGATTTTAACAAAATGTAAATACATATGTAATAAAAAACAATGATAAATAATTTAAAAAAAAAAACAGAAAACAAATGTTTATAGAAATAATGGAGATGTTATTTAAATATATATTTGACATACATTTATCGATAAATCGAAGATTATCAGAAAGGAAAAAAACAACAACAAATAATAATCATTTTCTTATCGTCGCATTAATCGTTTAGATTCATTCTCATCAAAACTTGATCTAGAGCGTTTGAGATTCGAACGACCTCGATATGATGATGATGATGAACAATAATCATTATCATAACGATCAGATGATTTATTTGAAAGCGTTTGATGATAATCAATTGACGTTGTCATTCCGTAATCTCGTGTTCGATAATCGATTTCTCTCATAGATGAAAATGGCTGTGTATACTGATCATGAATCATATATGCAGAAGCAGTAGCAGCAGCAGCAGCAGAAGAAGAAGAAGAAGATAATGTTGGAAGTGATGATGGTGATGACATTCGAGTGGTTGATGAAATCCGATATGAATCAGAACGGTGAATAGACGATGGTGTAGATGTTATTGGATGATAAGCTCGCGATGAACCATTTCGATTTGCTAAAAAATAGAAATGAATGTATGAATAAATAAATAAATTCTTCAAATAATCGATTGCTTTTTTTTAATGACATTATCATCATACATCTATAGATAAGAACTAATCAGTACAACGCACTTCTCCATACTGATAATTAGGGCAAGTTGACCGAAATATAAAGAAAAAAGAGTCTGTTTAATGAAAAGACAAACGAATCATTTATTAATGTGAAATAAACATAAACAACAGCTGTGCGAACAGCAGGAATTAATAGCAACAGATTCCTTCGATGCTACTTACATCCTATATCATAATGTTGAGAACGATTGTTATAATCATTTTGTCGATATATATCATTGTATGAATCAACAGTACTACGTGTAGACAAAGGTGCTAATACAGGAGATGTTGGAGATCGATATTCATTACGAATATATAAATCATTGTTATTATTATTTCGAGATACATGATCATTTCTATAAGAAGACATAGATGGTGATCGATGAGAATCGTCTCGTCTAAACGAATCTTTCAATAGATTATCATTTATTCAAAATAGAGAAACCTACCGATAAGCTGAAGATGATGATGGTGAATATCGACTCCGTTCTGAGTCGATATAATGTGATGATAAACTTCGATCACGCATGGATTGTGAAGACTTATAATAGAGAGCAGCTGGGGGTGGACGATCGGAAACAATGGGTTGATCGATTGTTAATGGTGAATGAATATCAGGGCTATTCGTTTGACGATTAAATCGAGATGATAATGATGGATGATTGTCGTAGTAATTCGATTGATCATTATCTTTTCGATTTAATAATGGTGAAGAACTACGTAAAGATGTATAATTTTCATGGCGATGTTGTTGATAATGATGAGATTTTAATGAAGTACGCGATGAATAATTTCCATTACTACGAGACTGATGATCTTCATGACTGTACACGCATCGAAAAAAAAGTTTTTTTTTTGAAAAATTTATTGATTTTTTTTTTTCTTACCGATAATTTTTTCTTTTTAATCGATCATCATATTTTCTTCTATGATGAGATTGATATCCATTCTGCGAGAGTTCTTTATTAACACGCATCTAACCAGTAATAAATCTACTATGATTATAGCAAATGGTTCTTATATATATATATATATATGCGTATATCGGGAACAGATGTGGAAGAACAAAATATAGAAGATAATCTATGTTCTGTTCGTTCTGTATCATTATAGAAAAAAAGCAAACAAAAGAAAAGGAAAAATTCTTGATGATCGTTATTTATGTATGTTAACAGAAAGAAAGATGATGATTTACTTCGTCGATAAAAAACTGAAAGGTCAAACGCGTATATAATCGGCACATGTATAATCAATACAAGAAAGAAATGATAACAGATTCCGAAATATCTTATTTGACAAGATTAGAAATATTGTAAGACATTTTGCATCATCAATGAATTAACAAATAATCTACATTTGGGATAATCTGAATAGAAAAAGCCTCACGTTTCTAACAATCTAAAAAAACAAATAAAAGAAGAGAGTGAATGTGTTTTCTACACATGCCGTGCTCGAAATTGTTCATGTTTATATTTATATATATATATATATGTATATATTTTTCTTAGTAAAAGACAAGAAATACAAGATAGATAGATATGTAGCCAAAAAAGAAAAAAGAAAAGATCAAGAAGAGTAAATGTAACATTCTGTCAAAAGGTATTTCTTATACCGATTTGTTGTTCATGATAAAAATCGATACATGAAAATGTTTTCTTGTTTTATTTACATGAAGGAAAGAACAAAAATTGTTAATCTTAAGAGAAATGTTGGAAAATGAAAAAGAATACGACACAAAACTATTTTTAAAAAAAACGAAGAGAAAAGGTCGTTCACGGTATATATTTAAGCATAGATTTTCGCAATTGAATCGGCTCCAACACTGGTCATATATGGTTTTGAGGAATGAAATGCAACATCATGTATAGATTCATCATCTTTTTTCTGATGAACTGTTAATTCTTGTAAACAATTACGATTTTCTAAATTCCATAAACGTATTGAACGATCATGACTACCAGATAGAAGACAAGATTGTTGAGGATCAATAGCTAATGATGTTACACTATCAAGATGAGCAACCATTGAATGAATCATACGACCTAAAAGATAACAAAAAAATTTTAATTTTTTTTTATTGAAAAAAACTTCTTTTTTTTTTACCAGAATTACTATCAAAATATCGAATCTTTTTATCGTCATGAGCAGTAATAATAATTGGTTGACATGGATGACTTATCAAGCGATTAATACGATAATTTCGATCACCTAATGATGAATGATCATTAACAAATTGTCTTACAATTTGTCCAGTTTCAATATCATATATAAAAGTTTTTAATGTATCATAAGTAACAACAAATTGATTTGTATCTCGCATTAACCAATCAATAGATAATGGAATACCTTCATCTTAAGAAAAAAAAACAATATGATACTCTTAATAACAAAAACAATTACATAGAAGAATAATTACTATGAAATGTCGATTGTAACGGTTCATTTAAATTTGCATCCCATAATCGAACTGATCCATCAGCGGAACATGACAATAACTTTTGACCGGATATAATTAATTGCCAGACAGCATCTGTATGACCATCTAATACTTTATATAACACATTGGAATCTTTAGAAAGTAAATAATAATTTTTACAATAAGAACAGAAAAAAAAAAAAAAGAAATAGATTAATAAGATCTATACCATATGCGTCATATGGATCGACTTCTGAATTTGGAATATTCCATACTGATATAATAGAATCAAGGCCACCACTATAAAATTGTTCTCCCGTTGGATTCATAGCCACGCATAGGACAGGAGCACTACATGAATTCATTTATAATGACATAGGATAATACAAAAAAAAAAAAACTACTGGCAGAAATATTTTAATTTCTTATAAACAACTTAAAGAAATTTTCTCTCTATATGATCAGATGTCAACTGACATTAGAATAATAAAATTTAGAAAAAATAACAAATTAATAGTAATGAAAATCAATATTTTATTTCGTTTAAATCTTCACATATTGTTCTATTGATACAAAAAAATTTCAAGATTTAGAAAAGTCACGTAGAAGATCGAGAATATCTTGATGTCGGTGATTTCATTATGTATCTATTGAATCGAGTTCAAAACATAATTTTCTTCCACAGAAAAGTGATGTCGGTAGAATAGAAAAGAAATATAGAAACAAGTTCATCGAGTCTTTATTTTATTACGTGTTCAAAATAATTTTCCAGGTTATTTCTCACCATTTGATTGCAATCATTGAAACTATTTACTGAACGCTTTTTTTCTTTTATTATTCAAAGAAATCATGAACTATATTTAGAGTACGATGCAATGAATTAGAGTCGTTTTGATCGCTTAGATTTTTTTTTTTTTTTTGATTAAGTTGAATAACTAAAAATTATATGATGCAAGATCCAGAGAGTTACTTAAGTAAAACCTTAATGAACTTCTAATGGAAGCGTAGAATTAAGAAAACAAAAACAACTTAGTCTCATACATATCATAGAAATGTAGAACATTGTTTCTACAATCATATTATATAGAACAAAAGTTTCTTTTAGCTTTTTGTAAGGAAATAAAATATTTTCACCATTACTTTTAATATTTTCTAATTAACTCACGTATGCCGCCGAAATGTATAGATTGGTTCAAGATCTTGTGTTGTTGATGCTGATCTATAGAAAAATAATTTCAATTGTTTGTATTTTTTTTTTTTGCAAAATTTCATAAACTGTTGTTTGTTTACTTTCTTAGTATCGCTGATTTTTCAAGATTCCATAATTTAAGTGTACGATCTTCAGAACCAGTAATAACAACTGATTCAACAGGATGAAATGTAACACAACGTACTCCATCCAAATGACTAGAAATAATTCAAGATATTTTCAATGAAATTTCACAAATTTTTCATACCTTCGTAAAACGTATTTAATATTCCATGTTTTTCTAAAATCGGACGAATCATTTGTCGCTATCTAAATAAAACAAAAATTATATTTATTCTTTTTTTTAATAAATAAAATTATTATACAGCATCATCATGTAGTTCATTATCATTTGAAACTGTAACACGTGCTAATTCATCAAGACCTTCAATAACATTTTCTCCAATAAAATTTTTACTATTTCGAAACATCATTGAATCAACTAAGAAACAAACGTATATATATATATATATATTCAATTTCTAGAATATTTTTTGTTTTTACTTTGTTCATCTTCAGAATATGTACGTTGTTCTGAAGATATATCATCATTTCCATTTTTAAAAAGACTATTTCGTATTGATGATGATGTCGTATTTGTTATAGTTGTTGATTGATGTACTTGTTTTATATGACGATCACGTTTATATTCTTCTTTTAGACGATTTATTCGAGATGGATCAACATTCCATTCATTATTACCTGTATCTAATATAAAATAATAATAAGCAAAGCCGAAAAAAAAGAAAATTTATTTTAAATTCTTCTACCCATTGATTTAAATTCATTGATACTTAAACCAGTTGTCGTAGCATCACCAGTAAGAAAATCAAATTCTTGTAAAGCTGCTTCTTCACTATCAAGATCATTTAATGTGTCAAGTGTTGAATTATGATGATTAATATTCGTTGCATTACCATTATTAGATTTAATTATGATACGATTAGTATCAAGATCACTATCACTAATAAGAAAATAAAAATAAGTATATTCGTTCTTTTTTCTACTATTTTTAAGTATTTCTATTACTTGGATTCTTCATCTGGTTGATCATCTTTAAGAAAAACTAATGAAGCTAGAGATTTATTAAAATCATTTGTAGCATTCTGAAGTATATTAGGAATAATTCTAAAAAAATAAAAACAAAGGAAATTTTATATTATGCTGTTCTTAATTGATTGTTAGTATTGAACGTTCAAATAGAACTATAGAGTTTTCACTATCAATATAGAATACTTACGAGAGAATATCTTTAACTGATATTCTGTATTTAAGTTCATATTTCACTCATAATTCAGATAAAAAATCTAAAAGGGTTTATGTATTATAAGACTTTTTTCTTATTTGAGAGTTGATACCTGTCAACAGCAGATCAAGAGTCATTCTTTTTTGATTATTTGATAGAAGATATTGGTTTTGTTCGAACTCAAAAGACTTTATATTGAACAATGATAAATTAGAATGAGTATCACATATATAAGTTCTAACGAAATTTGGCTGAAATAATAAAATCATACTAACTGATGATATGTGTTCTGAAATATTCATGTTTGCATTTAGTAAAAACCATTTCAAATGAATTTTTTTAATCAAAAAAAAAAAACGTTAGTCAAGCACACTATGATGTTACGTTGCTCTGATAACGATTTCTTCAATATAAAATCAAATAATTGTTTTAGTATTGTATTTCCTACTATCTACAGCATACAATTCTGATATACATAAGTATGTTGTAAAACAGTACTTTTTTACCATTACTTTAATGATTAGAAGGAAGATATGACTAATCCAAAGGTTGATTTGACTGTTATAGAATCAGAAAAAAAAAGTGTACTGTTTTCAACTCTGTTTTAAGTTATGATCATTTTTTATGAATTTTCAGCATATTACAAAACAGAGCGACAAAAAAAATTGCAATAAGAATTTTGTGTTGGAAGTCTTTTTTAATAATAGATCTTATAATACTTATTATTTCCTGAAAGTTTCATGTCAAATAGATGCTTCTCGTTTATAAATGTGTGGAACTAACTTTAGTTCCGATCATAGTGACTGTGATCTAGATCATGAGGGAAAAAAAAACAAGTTATCCTAACCAAAATTAAAGATTATAGTTAAATATTCGATGTTGATGCGATTAGATAACTTTCAATGTCTAATACAATTTACTGAATCTATTATATCGAAAGTAAAGAAAACACGAGTATTGAAGAATTTTTTAAGATATTCTACATCTCATTCGTTTGAACTGAAATCTTTCAGGACATAATAAGTAACCTGAGTAGTGCTCAGCGTGACTCACAGTTATTAAAATATCTACATATCCTGTATCTCTATTAATTGGTTAAACGTTCTCTACTACAGAAATGACTTCGTTTTTCTATTTTGTTTTTACATAGATCTAATATCTACAACTGTCTTACATGTAATAAACATCATTATAATTTATATTTTCAACAAAATAAAGTCAAATTTTTTTTCTTATCGGAAATTAATTATATTAGATTCCTCTTTGATAATATCTTTTGCAATTGCAGCTCTGCTGCCCATAATTCGCTTGATTAGATAAATTTTCTTATTAAATATTAAAATATTTTCATTTCGCTTCAATAAATTCTCATTGATTTTACTGATACAATCGATATATATATATATGTATATTAGATCTTCGTTAATATAATACAAATAGTTTACGTAAAGAGATCCTTACAAATTTCAGTAAAAAAGATCATAATAGAAGAAGAAAGACTTATTTCTTGCAAATATCTTTTTTTGCAAAGAAAAACAAATCCTCAACAAAATGAAAACAAAAACGATTTATCTTATGTATTTTAAACTAGTAATTCTATTTACCCTTTTGATTCATTCATTATATTTACATCACCATTTAAACCTGATGACGCAGAATTCGTTCCATTAAGATTTGTTTCACTTTTAATTCCCAGCAGTTTTTTAACAGCTGTGGAACGTATATCAATTATTGTATCAACATAACCTATTTCTTTTAAATATCTAAATAATAATAATAATAATAATAATATTAATTAAATAAAAATCAATTATATACTGTCGAAGTAATTGACGACCTTGTTTAAAAGAAACACTACTACCACCAAAAGCTAAACTTGGATCTTCTTTATTTTCATCTTAACAAAAAAAAAAGACATGAAAATTTAAGTTGTTTGTTTGTTTTTTTTTTGATAGAAGAAAAATTTTACCATCATCAAATCCTGTTTGTCCTTCATTTGATGATGGTTTTTGATCTTCTAATGGAATATTTTCACTACCATATTTTAATTTATTAAATTTCAATCTAAATATAAACAATTGATTTTGTTTTGCAAAGATAAATGAAATAAAAAAAGAAAAAATTTACCTTTCTTGTTTTAAGGCATATTCAAGCATTTTAATTCGTCTAACAAGTGCAGTTTTTAAATTTTCTTGTCCTTGGCGTTCACCTTGAAGAAAAGCTATACGTGCCTATTTTTATAATAAAAAAACAAAAACTAAAATTAAATTAAAATGAAAATTCTACTTGTAATTCTGCTCGTTCAGTTTCCCATTGTTGTCGTTCAATTTCAAATCTAGTCCATTCATGTTGAAGAAAATGAAGTATACCAGGTACTGTATAAAGTGAAGCTTGTGTATCAACAGTACCCATTGTTGGTGCTGTTGTTTGACTATCGTTTTGATAAGATATTTGTGTTTCACTACCGTCCATTGATTACATATTAATCTAAAAAAAACTGAATTGTTTTCTTTTTTGTGTTTTTGTTTAGGTAAAATATATATATTCTTTGGCACGTACTTGATTTAACAATCGAGATTAAAATGAAATGTAAAAAATAATTTAGACAAACAATAAACAAATAAACAACTAGAAGAAAAAAAGAAAAATTTGCTTCGAGCGTCGTTGGTATTATTCGGACTGATAAGCGATCAGAATAAAGGAAAAACAAAGTTTTTTTTATTTCTTATGATAAGAATCTATTGTAACTAGGTTATAAACATTTATTTGTGGAATATATTTGTTCGAATATTTCATGTGACATCTACGAGGGAAACATGAACAATGATCGGTGTATAGCGACCTCTTGGATAAATTCATTGAGCTATAATTTGCTCAAGATACAAACTATTGTAATGATATTCTGCAAATTAGATAAGAACATTTTGATTATTTATTGCAATATTATTGAAAAAAACTGTTTGTCTTAGTCATGTTTATATATTCTCATGCATTACAGTGATTCTGGTTTTTAAAAATCATTCTGATTTTCTGAATTTTGAGTGTTCTTTCAAAAGAATGTTGAGTATTGAAAAAAGAAAACCAGATAAATTATAAGTTGCTACAACATTTTATATAAATCTCATTGAATATTAACAGAAATACACGTTGTACAGTTGATTTAATACGCAATTCAATAATAAAATAACCGTTTATTGAGGAATTTTGAATAATTTTTCAGCTCTTTATATAGAGGATAAACATTCAGAAAAAAAAGTACAATATATTTACATTTTGTTGCTGTATCCTGTTCATCTAAATTCTACGTAAAAAAGAATATTCTCGAATAAAATTTGACTAAAAAATACCTGTTGGAAAATCATTACTCTACAACTTGAGTATAACGATCTTTTTTTAGGAAGTCCTATAATCTTTTTTCCGTAACAAAATTGGTAATAAAGAACTTTTTCTCATCAGTTTGTTATCCGCAAAGTACTATCTCTTTTCAAATACTTTATGCACCACCATCTTTCTCTCACACAGACAGAACTAGAATTAAGTTTGGTTATTCTACACAAAAAATATATAAGTATCTGTCAAATATTTACACACGTAGAAGAAATGAAATTTAAATCAATTATATATTTTGATAGACTATTGAACATTGCACGAAATAGACTAATTACATTCTTTTCATATTGCTTTTTTATACTCAACAATTTTTCTTAGGCAAAAAAAGAAATGATGTTTTCTGTAATGTATCTCTGATAACATAGCGACAGTGTGAGTCAAAGAGTTGGAATTTTTTGTGGCAGTGGGATGTTGGAAGAAAAAATAACATGTGGAGAATCGTCCGAATCAGTTGAAAGAAACATAAGTTATTAGTCAAATACAGCTAAAATGTCAATCGTACCAAATAGTTGCAATTCACTCATATGCAAGGTAAGTAAAAATGTTTTTCCACAAAAAATATTATCGTCAACAGATTTTATATCAAAATTAAAGCTATATAGTGAGGATTATGGCAAATTTTCACTGTTGAATTGAAGAAATTCCTAAAATAATTTCAAATTACAGTGCTAGTTTCCTAGAAAAATACTTTTATGCGGTCATATATACGTATATGATAGAGACCAGGTTTTTGTTTTCTTTCCGTGTATGAATTGAGGTATGCGTTTCATGTTCCTGTTTTCATGTGTATGGAATAATTATGTGACCTATCACAACTTTTCTGTTCTATTCGCTTGTAACTAAATATTAATTTACTAATTGTTCCAAAAGTACATTTACGCTCTCGTGCTATTGTTTCTAATGTCATATCGTCTCTCATTCGTTTCATTATTATTGTGGCATGTCTTGCATCACAACAAACAAGTTTGAGCTATTTATACTATCATATAATACAAATTATCTGATAATACAATATGTAGATTAATTCGGTTAACACTTTCTTTTTCATGTCCTTGAAAGAGTCTCATTATATTCGAAATTATCTTTGTAACAATGACATTGTCTTTGATATGTTTATATGCGTTCTTATCATCTTTCATAAATATTTGTCTTACTGTCTAAAAGATATCTGCAAGAATTATAATAGACAAGTATTGGTAAAATGTTTTATTTCAAATGAATTCTTACAGTCAACAACATGCAATTAATTCAATCAATATGAAAAAGTTATTTTATTTTTATGAGATGACAAAAGCTTTGACAACATCGAGACAACAATAATAAAATTTGCTTTTTGCATATTTGTTACAAGTCAAGTGAACAATGTTCGATGTATGATTTTTCATCAATTTCCCATACCAATCCATCGAGGTACAATACAACCAAAGATTTGTCGTAATTCTTTTCGAAATGCACCTGATGTAAGAAAAACAAAAAATGAAGCTGCACTGTAAAAATTCAGAAGAAAAGCAGAAGTAATAAATAAAACAAAATTTTCAATAGCTGCTCTTTCTGTTGACTTTGGTCCTCCAATAATTAAAACAGCTGCATTATATAATGTATTAATAGGATAAGATATAGTAAAACTCATATATACAATAATTTGTACAAATAACATCTTGCTTAATTGTCGATCACGTTGTTGAAGACGCATTTTTTCTGAATTTTGATTATATGGTTCTTCATGACTTTGTCTTGTAGAAGTCTGAGGATGTACATTACGTGTCATTCGTCTTAAATTTTGATAAGCCATAAAACTAAATATAGCCATTAAACTAGTTGGAAGTATAGCAGCAACAAAACAAATATAAATTGAATGATAAAGAGCTGCAGCACCCATCCACATTAAACATTTTCCATTTTGAATAGTTGTTGTTAAAGGAATATGTAATGGAATAATAAACCAAACTATAGGAATAATAATAATAATTCGAACAACAACTTTTGGTCGAAACATTTCACGTATTCGAGCATTTCTTGATGATTGAGCATAACATGAAATACAAGCCAATGTTAAATAAGATCGTGATATAACCAATAATGCATTTCGAATATATAAACGAAGTTTACAATAAATAAGATTTCCATTTTCTGGTGGTGAATTATAAACTGAGTGAATGGTTGGAATAATATAATAAATCATAACGGTCATATTAGCAATTGAAGCAGCAGCAAAGAAGACTGAACATGCATTAGAACGTAATCGTTTTCGAAGAAATACAAGACAATTAAATATATTTCCAAAGACACCAATAACAAGAAGAACTCCCAATACAATAGTAAGACATTGTTGAATAAGATTAAGTGTAGCGATCACAGACATATTTCGCTTTCTTATGAATAAAATACAATAAAACTATATTGAATACTAAAAGAAAGACAAAAAAGGAAAAATTTTGTTTACTGCAGATAATAATGTTCTTGAAAATAGTTTATATACAACTGATCGTGCAGAATAAATAAGAATCTCAGTACTTCCTCAATATTTCTATTCGCTTTTAAAAGTTTCGGTCTGAGTTTTTTTTTTTTTTTCTAAAATATAGAGCGTTTATCCTCATTAAAGTTGCATACAATTGAATTTTTATCGAAATATAAGCAAAACATTTCTAATGTAGAAAAAGTAGTTGATAACTGTTAATGTCTCATGTTTGTGATATTTCTCCTAGGATAGTTTTTTTAGAAAAGAAATTTATATGCGAAATAACTGTGTAAGATCATTTTTAACTTTTCTTTAAAATAAACATAGAGATAATCTTTACCTTTGACAAACAAAGGTAAAGAAAATCTTAATCTTTACGAATGATGTAAAAAGTAAATCTTTATACCCACNATATAATAGTTGGGGTTTTGTTTGACTATGATAGGAAAATGTTTTTACGAAAGCGGGGATGGATCGATTTTCGCATAGGAAGCCATAGGGAAAAATGAGTATTTTTGCAATAACTCAGGAACGGTTCGGCCAATTCTTCTCGTCTTCGAACTCGACCGAGATATTGTTAAGACTGAACTGTGTAGAAAATTTCATCGCGATCGGACTCTCCTTTCAAAAGTTATCGTGTAAACGGCCGGCCGGACGGACACACTGACCGATTCTAGAGTGTACTCACTTTTTGAGTACACAAAAATGAGCAACTTCAGTAAGAAAAGTTCTGATACCTTTTTCAGGTTTAATTGCATGAATAGTATAAACTTGATCAAAATAGGGTGGACATGTATCAAATGTACCATCCATCATAATACGTTTGCCAGAAAATAGAAATGTTAATTGTTGATCTACACCAAATAGTAATAAACGTTTATTATGTAATGTTTTATCACATAATAAAAACTGTTCGTCATTAAGTGTAACTTGGTATTGAACTGGTATATCAAATACATATGACGTTGGTAATACCGGCGTCATTTTTCTACGCGCACGATTTAAACCTGAATCTGAAATTAATTTAGTAATTCAGAAAATTCTGACAAAGACGAATATAAAAATGTATACATACTTGCTTCATATGATGATGGCATAATAGCAGCTGCTGTTTGTGACATTTGTTGCCGAGCAAGTTCTTCATCATAAATTTTAGCTATTGCTGTTGTTTCATTTATAACTCGACGCTTTATATTTTGTTTAAATGTGCGAACTTCAATTTCTTCAGGTGATTATAAATGTGAATGAATACCAACTGTTTTTATAAATGCATCCTTAGTATTTGTATGAACACCGGCATTGCAACTACGATCTTCACATTTCCAATATTTAACTGTAGCTGTTGTTTTACTAATATAATAAATGTAATTATCACGAACTAACAATAGTTTGCCTTTATTACTTGTAATAAATGACATTGTACTAGCCATAATAGTTTATGTATCGTTTTATAAGAGTACGAATGAGTATTAAAAATATGATACATCACAGTATTTATAAAACTAGATATCCTTGTGTATACTCTTGTCATTTCTTTGATCAATTAATCTGATAATTAGACTTTATTAGCTTAACTTCTAATCATTATAACTGTTCTTTTTTTGTCCCAGAGGAAGCGATGATTAATTTATCTCTATCTATATTCTATGGGAAAATTTTGTATTGTACATGCTATTAATTTAATTAACAATTGCGCCTCATTTTTACAATATCAACTCTACTAAGATTTTACCCTTGCCGTGTTCAAACTTTTAGATATTTTTCCTTTCGACATTTCTCAATACATTCCATTCTTAGACTGGTGTCATTAACAGTATTCATTTTTTCACTAGAACACTTTCATAAAATTGTCTAGTGATTCTTTTTCTTTCTTAATTCTGGTGTTTCAGATTGACAGAAGCATAAAAAATATTAAATGAATCAAACTTTTTTTTATAGTTATGAGTGTTTTTTTCACTTTGTTTTATCTAATAACTATTATATTTTCATTATTGACAATTGTAATCGTTGTACGTTATTGTCATTCTCAACGTTGGTCTATTGTTAATCTTTTAGCATGTAGCTCTTGTGTTAGTCATCTTGTTTATACAATTAGTTTTTGTATACAATTACCATCATTCATTCAACATACTTCACCTAATTTAGAGAATAAAAATACATTTGCTTGTAAGATCATTGCTTGTTTCGGAACATTTGGTGCTACAATTCTATCGTATTCCTCTATGGTTCAAGCGATTTCTCGTTTTTTTATTACAGTTCTTCACAAAAATCGAATTCTTCTTACATTTCGAATCAATTGGCTGATGATCATTATTAGTTGGATAATGAGTGGTGTTATTGCTGGTGGTTTGCTTATTTCACCAGTAGCTTATCAATATGAAGATGAATCTCGTGTATGTACTTTGACAAGAAAAAATTTTCTCATATCGTTTCTAGCTGCCCTCATCATTTTTATGTTTCCTATGATTACAATAACAATTCTTTATGGAATTATTATTTGGCATATGAAACAACATAGTCATATTAATCTAAAAACTTGTAGTACATTGCGAGCAAAGAGAAATATGAAAGTATTTAAAAATATTTTTATTTTTACAAGTATTCTTGGTATCGGTGGCACACCTTATTTAGTCTCTACGATTGTAAATAGAATAGTGCCAATTCCATGGTCATTATACTCAATTTCATTTTTATCCATTGCATGCACATCTGCTATTGGATCAATAGCAATTTTACTTACAAATGAACAATCTAAAGCAATTTTCTGTGCTAAACTTCATTGTCGTCAATTAATTATAACAAAAAAGCCAATAAATAAAAACTTAGTTAGAATCAATCAAATTGCAGCCTATTACAGTAAAACAGATGGAGTTGAAATATTGCCGGCGATCAATTAATTTTATATAGATGAACTTGTACATCATGTATGCACATCTTTTTATTGATCTGTATGAATACTACCAAAAATAAACATCTGAAATATGTCATCTATCTTTGTTTATTAAAAGAGGAATGTGAGGTTCTCACAATCTCCCTCTAAGACCTGTCTGTATGCAAAGTTTCGAGTCGAAATAACAAAAAAAAAATAAATAAATCGTTCTCAGTTCTGTACTACATCATATGATTCCAATAATGGAATTGATAATCTTGATTAATTTATTAAATAATTTCTTGAAAATAGATTCACTTTTATTTAATTTTCTTGCTCTCATGCGCTTTCAATTTCTGAATTAAAAAAACGAAACCGAACGAAAAAAAAATTAAAAACACAGCTGCGATAATAATAGAATAAACACACACATAGAGAGAAAAAAAAATAGCTACAGCTGAGTTGCACAGGTCAAACAGCATCATCATCATCCATCATTATTATTATTATGATCGTCAAAATACTCTGCAATTAAAAAAATAACCTGTTTTCTTTTCTATAAGGACAAAACACAAATATACACATAGAAATCAGTTTTGATATAGTTTAGAAAGAACAAAAAAAAAATAAAATAAAATAAAACGTAGAAAATATTTTGTTGTTATTTTTTTCTTTTTTTACAAGGAATAAGAAGTTTTTCGACATATACAGACTTTGTCTATGTATGCTAATAGGATTAAACAAACAAATCGGAAATAAAAAAAAGAACTTTTTTTCTCTATTATTATGTTGTTTTTTTTTCGAAAGTCCAAGTGATGAAAAAACAAAAGTTTTATGTTATTGTTGATTAGTTGCATGGATATTTGATGATCTATAGATTTAATTTTCATCACCTTCATCACTATTTGAACCAGTATCATCATTTTCCTAAATTAATCATTTAAAAAAAAAAGTTTTTTTTTTCAAATTTTTTTACTTTATCCGAACATAAATCACAAGCTTTTTCTAATACTGATTTAGCACTTGGTGTTCGTTCAAGAAAATATCCTTGGGATATATCATTACTTGCAATTTGTCCTTGAGATTGATAATAAGGATAATTTGATGGAATGTGATTTGATCGCTAAGTTAAATAAATAATAAAAGATTTATTTATAAAAAAGAAAAAACAAAAACAATTTGAATTACTTCGAGTTGATCACGTAACCAACGAACAGCATGTATCCAATGATGTTTAATGTCTTGATCAGTTTGTAATAAATTATTTGCTTTCATACAACTAAAATTATATAGAATTGTATATAGAATTAGAAATAAAAATGAATTTAATTTACTTTGTAAATAATTGACAAAGCATTTTAATAAATTGATAACAATATACAATCGAAGTGATGTTCAAAGTTCATTGAAGACTAATAGAATTTTTATGTCTTATATTTTTCGGCATCACAGATATTGAAAAAATGATCATATGAAATCAAATGATGACATATGATGATAAAAAAGTAATTATTGCTTTTTTAATTATTATTCATAATTCTTATGCAGCGTTTTTTTCCGAAAATGTTGTCACATATATAATGTCAAAAAAAACGTTTTACATAAGCAAAAAGGATAATTCATGACTGTCGCAAAAATTTTATTCTCACCTCTTATAAACACACGCTATTGAGAGAAAAATGATCGAAAGAAAAGAAAACACAATTTGTATATATGTACATTGAGCTATGAAGCCGATCCATAGCAATAATAATATCTTCTTCTTGCGGTGACTATAGGCAGGAAGAACAATTGTGCTTTGTGCTATTGTTCATCAAGCTATTGTATAAGAATGATGCACAATATTCATTATGATAGCATTAAGACAAACTATGGCAGCAACATTAGAGCATCTCTCCGTCGAATTATTCTACGAAATATTTATTTATTTTCAGTTTCATGAAATATACAATATTTTTTCTAACCTTAATTCACACTTTGCTGATATCATTGATAATATATCGATTATGCCCGTTTACTTGGGTCTCAATGGAATGAGTATAGCAGTGACCGAATTTTATTATACACATTTATCACAAGCAAACATCTGTAATCGTCTTATTTCATTATGTATCTCAGATACATTAGCTATTGATAATGGCTTATGGTTGACATCACATCTATCGGCATTTATTAACCTGCATCATTTATCTTTAATCGACATAAAACGTTCTTATTTTGAATTGATTCTCGACTCATTGTCACCCATTAATTCTCTCATCATGTTTAGCGTACGTTTTTCAACTTATTGTCGTTCTGTTTATACGTTTATAGGTGTGCCTGAAGGCGCATANTATCCTTGGGATATATCATTACTTGCAATTTGTCCTTGAGATTGATAATAAGGATAATTTGATGGAATGTGATTTGATCGCTAAGTTAAATAAATAATAAAAGATTTATTTATAAAAAAGAAAAAACAAACAATTTGAATTACTTCGAGTTGATCACGTAACCAACGAACAGCATGTATCCAATGATGTTTAATGTCTTGATCAGTTTGTAATAAATTATTTGCTCTAAGGCAACTAAAATTATATAGAATTGTATATAGAATTAGAAAAAAAAATGAATTTAATTTACTTTGTAAATAATTGACAAAGCATTTTAATAAATTGATAAGCTCGTTTTTCATAAGATGATTTCATTTTTAAAAATATATCAAATAAATTTAGAGAAATATTATTATTATTATGCATTGTTGTCGGTGGTGATGATGATAATGATGATGAATTTTCATTAATTATTTGTTTTTCATTTGGTATTGGAATGCCTTTTAATGCATATAATAATCGAGCTTCTTGCCAAGAATCTTCAGTTGTAAGCACCACATATAATATATCAAGATGAGGACGTAAATCACTTGCATAAAGTTTTGAAAGCTAAAAGTAATAGACATCATATTTAACTATTGCATTGAAAAACAAAAAGCGTTCGAATGTATGGAACAAGTTTATTTTATATTGAAAGTTAAAGGAAACTGTGTCTATGATATTCCATATCCTTAGCATACTCTAAAAGTTTAAGACGAAAAGCAGGTTTCGTTTATTGAGATATTGAATTTCCAACTGACGTGAGTGTACTTGAAAACTATATTGATAGGTTTCTTTTTCACTATTATTTGGTGTTTCATGTGTATATGATTAAGTATAAAATCAAGATTTCAGCTATTTATTGTCTTCTCTTAGTAAACTTATTTGCTTTATTTTGATTCATTTCTATTTTAAACTTACTGATCCAATAATTTCATGAAGTACCACCCATGTAACATCAGGATTTTCCCAAATAAGGAATCGAAGAACACCACATAAATCTTCACATGAACTAGCTTCTTCAATAATTCTTTTCAAAAAACTTTCGTGTTTATAAACAATATTAATCATATCTTCAGGAATAGGACATATTGGACTATTATCATATGCATAATATGGATTTGGTAAAAGTTCATTATTTGGCTAAATCAATAAAATCACATATTTTATTTTTAAAAGAAGTAATGTTTTTCTTTTTGTCTTTACCTGTCCCGTTTTACATAATATTGAAACATCAAAACAACGAATTAATGTTGAAAGTATTATCGAAACTTTGGATGTTTCACCAAAGCGTGGCATTGATGATAATGTTGTATCATCATATGCCATATTAGCAAAAATTGTTGGAACATTTAAACGAATTAATTTTTCACACTTAAAATTTAAAAGAACAAAAAACAATTTTTTTTTTATTATTCTCAAAAACTTACTTCATAACGACCATTTGTTGCATAAAGAATAAAAAATTGAAAATATTGTGCTAACATTTTAACACTATCTAGCATATCTTTTTTAAGTAAACGTACGACATTAGTTATAATAGTGTCTTCAACAAGTATTTGATCTATTTAAAAGAAATTTTAAAAAAGTTGAAATATATAAATTTTATTTCATAAAAAAAGAAAAATACCTGATGATCGATTAGGATCTTCATCATCTTGTCGAGAAGTTCGAGCAAGAACTACAAGTATTCGACTAAATCCATTACGAACCTATTTTAATTATTTTAAATAAAGATTTTTTTTCTATTTTGAATAAGAAAATTTCTTTTTTCTTACTTCCGCTGATGTACAATCAATTAAATATTCATGAAAACGATTTGGATGTTTAACTAAAAGTTCATCAGCTAAATAATATCGAGCTTTACGTGATTGTCGTAAACAACTAGATATCGATTCAATCCAATCAATTGTTGTACCACTAAAAGAAAAAAACAATTATATATTTATTTTGTTTTATATTATCATTAGAATCAGAAGAAAAATTTTTATCAAATTGTATGCTCAATACTTAAAACAAATTTTCTCTAAATCTCGACATTGACAATAGCACACATTAGATTATTTGAAAATAACCACAAGGGGATATAACGATTGAAATTAGGTGAAAAATTGTTTTGAATATTGAATATATTATTCGATACAGATTTTTCTGCTGACTCAGAATATGAGATTCGAAACTAAATTCTGAAAATCTACTAAAATTTGGATCCGATCGGATTTCGAAGGATCCCCGCAGCCCCCTAACTGAAATAATACTTCATTCTTATAATGATTTGTGTGTACGAATGAAAATATTTTGTGCGATAATCATGGCTTTCGATGTGGGAGGGGATGGGGGTGGGCTAGCTCCTCCCACTTTTCCGATGTGTTTGCGAAAATTTTCTGGTTAACTGTCTTCGACTTCTGGCACATTCAGCGGACAGTCTTGATTAGCAGATATATCAGATAGCGTAGGCCTGGGAAATCTGACAGACAGTCAATGGCTTCTATCATGCCTAGCAAAATCGGCAGACTGTCTATGGTTTTTGCTGAATCTGCCAAATAGTTTTTAGTTCCATTATGTCTAACAGACAATGCGTGACTAGCAAGTCTGGCAGATAGTCTTTGACTTATGTCGGCTTACAGTTTGTCCTTGGTTTCTGCTACATCCGACGCACAGTCTGCGGTTCTATCAGATTTAGCAAACAGTATAGGTTTGGCAAATCTGGCAGAAAATCTGTGACTTCTGCTAGATCTAGTAAGCAGTCTAGGTCTTGCGCACCGTCTGTAACCTCGACGAACCTCACAGACACAAAAAGGCTTGCATCGAATATGAAACAAAGCTTTAGTAAACCTTGCCTCCTCTTACGGCAAGATCAGTTGTCTTTCTGTGAAACGAGATCACAGTCGACTGTGATTTTGAAAATTAAGCTTATAAAGCGTTTCACTAACGACTAACCGTCATAAGTGTAGCCGCCTTCGGCGCCAACAATATTGAGAAACGCCTCTGCATTGAATATTAAAGGAAAGTATAATTCTTAGCAATCTGCGAAAAATTTTCGCTTCCTGAGACATTGAGTTTGATTCTGTACTAGTAGTTAGTGGAATTTGCCCAAGTCCACGTTTCGTACGAAATTAAATTCCGAACAAAAAGAATTTTGCGCAGTTGTGTCATTGGAAAATTTTTTATATCATCACTGCTTAAAATAATTCCTAACCTTTTGACCTCTCCCCTTCCATCTTCCCCATTTGACTTTTCAGCAATGTCTGTGAAAAATTTTAGATACTGTCTGCGACAAAAATTTAACCCCTCCCACTTCCAAAAATTAATCGAGAGCCTTGGCGATAACTTTTAATCGATAGGTTAGAAAGCGAACTTCTAACTACTTTTTAAACAAATCGAGAAATAATTAAATTTATAAATACAAACCGAAGTGCTTTCTTTGTATGCCATCCAATTGAAAAAATAAATTTTGTTGCTATTTGAATAGTAATTAAAGCTAATTCTTCAATTGTCTAAAAATGATAAATTTTCTAAATAATTTTTCAAAAATTAAAAATAAAAAGAATTACATTTATTAAAGAATTTTTATCATCATGTGGTAATTGTGGAATAATATTAACTAAATAATGTACATTATTTTGTACAAGTTTTTTTATAAATATAAAATATTCAGCACTGAAAAGTATTCGATTATGAAGAAATTTAATATTTTGTTTTCGAACACTACGTTGTACTGATAATGGCATACGTTGAGTTTGATCATCTTTAGAATAACAAAAAAAAATAATATTAAAATAAATCAATAGATTTATATTTAATATACATAATTGTAATTGTACTAAATCTTTTTCAAGATTATCTGATGAATTTAAAGAATCTGTAGGAATTTTTTCATAAAATAAAATATATGCATTCCACCAACGTCGTTGTCTATTTAAAACAAAACAAAAAAAATCATTCATCAAGAATAAATTTAAGAAAAAAAAAAAAAAGTACCTTTTCATAGGTGGTTGATCAAATGAAGATGTTGGATTATCTCCACCAAAACATTGTGATCGAAGTTCTTCATCATCATCCATTTTACATTCATTTACATCTGTATCATCAAATTTATACCAATGAGAAGAATTTGATTCATTTCTATACATATTAACAAAAGTATTTATTGATAAAAAAAAATTCAATTCAATAATATTTACTTATATTGTATAAATGAATAATAATGACCACCATTGGCTTGACCCATATGTACAATAATACCAACAAGTTTATAACAAGTACCATCATTACTATTAGAATTTGTCGAAGTTTGTTCATCACTTGTATTTTCATCAATCACAGAAGTACCTAAAAAGAAAAAAAAAAGTAATCTTTAGAAAACATTCAAACAATGTGCAATGAATTTATAGATATATGATAAAAGTTTATACCTTCAGCTTTGGCAAGACCTTGAACTGTATATGGTTCCATATCTAATTCTCTTGGAAATTCAAAATAATCATTAAATTTAATAGGTGTTTCACGTTCCCAATCGTAATCAAATCGTTTAAGTTGAATAGCAAGAACAGTTGGTAATTTTTTAAAACATGTTCGTTTTATTGTATCAACCTATAAGGAACAAAAAATATATATTCAAAAGAGTAGAAGTACTTTGATTTTTTTTTTTTTCATTTACCTTTTTATTACATTTTTCACAATGATATGCATTAGGTCCATCAAGTAATTCTCCAATAACATATTGTTCAAGAGATTCTTTTAAATTTTGACTATGACGAATATCAACACTTATTAATGTAAAATCTTCTTCACGTGAATATCTAAAAAAAAATAAAACATATATGAAGAGAGAAAAAACGCAAAAAACAAAACATCAATTACCGATGTGGACAATCTTTACAAATTTTTTGATCAGCAAATTTTCCACCTAAAACTTTAGAACATATTTGTGGTAAATTTAATGTTTTTAATGCTTCATCAAGACTATCAACAACAGTATTTAAAAATTCTACAGCATCTTGTTGATCACGTAAATTAACTGGTTCACCAGAAAATCTAATAGTACAAAATAAGAATAATTCAAGTATTTTTTTTTTGTTTTTAAATTTTATATTTACTTAAATATTTTCCAAAATCCTTTTGGAATATGATATTGTAATTTTGATTCTAATAAATGTCCAAATATTCTTTGAATTTGACGAAGTATTTGAATATTATATTCATTTCTATCATTTTTTGAATCTTTTGTTGGTGATATTGTTGTTTTATTATTATCTTTAACACATGATTTTACATCAGAAAATGTATCAAACTAAATTTAAACACAAATATTTTTATTTTTGTATTTATCTTTGAAAAACTTCTTTTTTTTTTACTGTATCACGACGTAAATCATCTTCATCAAATTCATCATCACCATATTCTGGTGGAATTTTAACAGATAATAATGCTGTACGTAATGGTTGAATCATAAATAATTGTTGTAAAACAGAATTCATATAACATGTTGCTCCAGCATTTTTTAAACCAACAAAACTTTCATTTGAACGTGAACCAATTGGTAAAGAAAAATCCCATTCAGTTAAATTTGAATCAGGAGCTAGAATATATGAAATAGCATATTAAAAAACATAAGTTATTTTTCACTATTAAGAATGGATTAGTTTTCAGTTTAGATTAAATAAGAAAAAAGAAATATTCGAACAGATTAGAGAATTTTTTTTCAATTGTTTTTCAGATTCGAGTTAGAATTGAACTTGCCGATCTCATATTCTCAAATCTCGATAGACTGATGTTGAAAACCTCAATGATGGAATAGTTTATGATGAAAGTTTAAGATATTTTCATTGTTCCTATCCGAAAATACAATCATGCAACGACTTTCAGCTAAAAAACGATTAATTAATTTCGAGAACTTTCATCATTAGATAAAATCAGACTTAATTTTGTTTATAAGTATGTAGGTTCTAATGAAACTAGTAGAAGTCTTTAAGAATTTGTCTCCATGCATCACTGGCATGGTATTTGTGAAACAATCGAACAACAAAAATTTGAGCCCAAAGCCTTGAGATATTGAATTTTCTTATCTTTCCTTGTAACTCATAATTAGTTTTAGATATTCAATATTTCAAAGATAAAACATCCTTTTCGGCTAATAGAAAATGTCAGAATTTCGATGAGTTGAGATCAGGAACTAAAACTAATCTGTACATTTAATAAACACAGTAATACAGAACGTTATTTATTTTCACATATGAATGTGCTTAAAAAGATAAGCCGAGAACATTTTGAATACCTAATAAAAACCATTAAAATAGAATCTCTACATTATATTACCTGAATAAAATAAATCTGTAATATATTTATCAATTAATTTTAAATTTTCAATACAATTTGTTCCTAATATAACTAATAAATCAAAAGCAGCTGATATTGATATTGGTGTTTGACAAAAAGGAGTTGATGGTTCTTTAAGTTCATAATCATCATTATCATTTGTTTGTTTTAATAGATTATTTTGTTTTATTGAACGAAATTGATAAAGTAATGTTGATGCTGGAAAAAGAAATTGTTCAATAATTTGTTGAATTAATAATTGATCAATTCCATAAAAATGTTTACGTTCACTTATTTGAAATTGTAATAAATCACGAGCTAAATTTAAATGACCACGAAGTAAATTATCATCAATAGGTAATTGAATATTTTTTAACCATAATATTTCATCATCTAATTGTTGTTCTATATTTAATGGTAATATTTGATTTTGATATGCAAATGTTAATAAACGACATAATAAGAAAAAAAAATCTGATGAATATGATGAATAAATTTTTAAATTATTTGAATATTTATTAAATATTTGAAATTGTTTATCAATAAGATATTTTAATAAATTTTCTGTTTGTCCTTGTGAACAACGTGTTGTTAATATTAATATTTGTTCAGATGCTGTATGACGTATTATTGGATAATGACAATAAAGTATAAGATCAATTAAAAAATATTCAAAAAAATTTTCTTTTAATAATTGTTCAACACTTGATGGTACTAATGATATTGATAGACATAATAATTCTAAACATTCACGACAAGCTAATTGACTTTCAGTATCTTCATCTGAATAATCATTTAGAAAGAATTGTTCATTTGGATTAATCTGAAATTTTAAAGTTAATTATTCATAAAGATTTTTATTTAGAAATACAATAGAAAATATTATTTGTGATTGTAATTTTAGTTTTTGTACCCTTTTACTATTACGAAATGTCTCACTAATAAATCAGATTTTGATACAAAAGAACTTTTTTGAATTGAAAGTTTTATTCTTCAAAACCTTTGTCCATGAGAAAAAGTTGAAGTCAAATATCTGACTTTGTCGTTTCTTCATCTTTGTAAATTCCTGAAATGATCGAATCGCTATACTAACTCTATTCATATAGGAAAATATCGATTTCTTGAAATTGGTTTATCCTACAAGCATGAAAATTTTATTAGATATTTACCTAAAATACTCTTTGCAATTATACAAAATCGAATTTTAATTGTTTCCAAGACAGTACTCTTTTATCTATTTTTCTGCATTTTTGGGTTGAAAAGTTTCGTTTTTTTATGATATTTCTTAATTAATTTTCTTACGTATATAGTCTCCGGAGGCTATGTAAAAAATTTCTCAAAACCATTAGTCAAATAAAAAACAAAAAAAAAACGTACATTTTCTTGTTTAAATGTTTGATGAATTAAATTAAAATCATTTTTTAAATTAACATCACATGAAATTTGTTTATTATTTGATGCTAAACACCAAATAAGACGCATAAAATCAATAATATGATTATATTGTAAAAAAGAATTTTTTGGTATTGGATAATCCTCCATATGTTGATATAATAAAATAGCTATTCGTTTTTCAATTAATACTGATGGATGATGATCACCTACAAATATAGTTGACATTGGTATTAAACTAAGTATCTGATCTAATGATTCATTATCAATTGATGAATTTGTTGTTTTTAATTGATAAAATCCAAGTATAATAAGAAAACGTTTTAACATATAAAATATAATAAGATAAATTGATTTACGTGTTTTTATATCACATTGTTCAGTTAATTGTTTGTGTGTTAAAATATTTAATAAACATATTAAACCACCAGCATTAAGAAATCGTACATATATAGCATCTATTTCATTTAATTCATTTGTTGTTGGTAAAGCTGGTACTAATTTAATAAATGTTGTTTTTAAATTATATAACATTTGTGTTGGTGATGCATGAAAATAAAAATTTTTTAAACGTGTAAAATTTTCTTCGGAAGTTGATTTTGGTGATCCTATACAATTAATAAGTGCAACTTTTATATGATTATCAACAGGTACTAAATCAAGAATTTCGCGTGCAGTATCACGTATACGAATATTATTTTCTTTACAACCCATATCAGATATTTCAATAAGAAATTGATAATATTCATGTTTTTGAGAAAATATCTTAATTGAAAAAAAAAAAAATTTTTTTTTTCGTTAATTTTCAATTCTAATGAATAAAGAAGAGAGTCGATAATTGATTAAAAATGATCTTATTGAGAAATTTAATTTCGTTTATGTTAAATTCTTCATACAATGTGTTCGAAAGTAAGTCATACGTTACTAACTATCTGAATCAGCATTTAAAACTGGATGCACTTGTTTGTATTTCATAACTTTTCGCAACCTGTTTCTTTTTCATTGAAAAATTCATCGGTACTTATACTCCCCCCCCCCCCCCCCCCCCCTCTCCACAACTCATAACTCAACATAAATCCTCAATTTATACATATTATTTTTATTTGTTACAGACAAGAAGTCAACATAG